AAGGATGCCTCATGCGATAGGCAGAAACAGTTGAGGGCTTTGAGTGGGATCGCTGATCCGAGAAAAAGATGATCTTCATGCTCCATCAACACAAACTGTCAACCTTTGAAACACAGTCATGCCTCCCTCAAGGGAACCAATCAGCACACTGTCATTGGACTAATATAGAAATTTTACTGCTGATATACGCCAGGGAAGATGGAAATCTGAAGCAGAAAATGAAGACATATGTGACATCATTATACAAACTAATTTCTCCTGAGTTCCAACCATGGGGAGAAGTAGGTCTCTGTGGTTTATATACATATCCTGAGTCAGATTGGGTGCTTGAAGGATATTTTTGTGTGTGTGAAAATGTTGGCTTCTCTGTCAATAGACTTAGAAGATGAAGAAGAGCTTTTTAAATAACAGGCCATCAGAATTAAAAAGTGAAAGTTAAAGGAATACTGTGATTTCCTACTCCTGGCCAACAGCTCTTTCAAATACTTCAATATATGATATGGTGCTTGGTTTGTGTGTGTGTGTGTGTGTGTGTGTGTGTGTGTGTGTGTGTGTGCATGTACTTATATATGTATATTTACATATATAAGTGTATATGTATATTTATATAGTTATGTATATAGATATAAATCTTTAACATAGTCCAAATTAAGGGGAAATTATATCAAAATATCATGGGAAATTATCATTGAAGTATGACTTTACTTGAATCATAGAAAAAAGAGAAGATTTCACATCTGGATTGTTTTTTAAGTTGCAACCATAAAACTCTTATAGATAAGTCTTTTGTCTTTGTAGAGTAACATGATCTCTTAAGAAGTTGAAAATTAACCTTACCAAAGTCACATAGATAAGTTTTAACTTACTTTTCTTTTTATCAAGCAGAATTACTTGGTAATCACTTCATTCTTTCATTCCCCAATTCCTTCTTTTTAAAATTATTTCACTCTCTTCTTGATTCATGAACTTGCTGTTCATAAGCTCTGAAGGTTATCTGTCTATCTATTCATCTATCTGTGTTGATCAAATCTAAGAGTCAGAAACCAGTTCCCACCTCTATCACCAGTCATAAAATCATAAGCAAAATACATTATCATTCTGAAACCCATTTTTCAAATATTTAAAATGCAGAATAATACTTTCACTGTTTATGCAAAAGCATACCAAAACTCACAATAAAACAGCATATACTAAATTAAAACATTTATATATTAATCAAAGTTGTAGAAATAAATATACTAAGGGTTTTTTTTTTGTTTTTTGTTTTTTTTTTTTTGAGACAGGGTTTCATTCTGTTGCCCAGGCTAAAGTGTAACAGCATGATTATAGCTCACTACAACCTCAAACTCCTAGGTTTAAGTGATCCTCCTAGCTCAGCCTCCCAAGTAGCTGAGACTACAGGTGTGTGCCATAATGTACAGTTAATGTTCTTTTTTTTTAAATTTTTTTGTAGAAACAGGGTTTTACTATGCTGCCCAGACTGGTCTTGAACTCCTGGCCTCAAGCAATCCTCCCAGCTTGGCCACTCAAAGTTCTGGGATTACAGATGTGAGGCCACCATGCCTGGCCAATATTCTAAGTCTTACAGCACTTTATTTATATACATTTTTATATATTTAATAAATCTTTCCCATCATGTCTTTCATTTCATATAAAATTCTCAATAACAGGACCCCTTTATTTATAAATTGACCTATTTTTCCCTAGAATTTTTCTCTGCATTCTGCTTTTTCTCCCTTTGTTATTTGAACTTTTCATATACATTTTATATTACCCTAGTTAGGATAAACTAACTGTGCTTTTGCTATTCTTGTCTATTTAACAAAAGTAGAGCAAATTAATATTAATTAAATTCTCATCCAATTCTGCGGGACAGAGGGTATTTTAAAAGAAAGTATTATGGTTGGCCTACATATTTCAAATTGTAAAATTTATTAAAGTTTATAGAAGAATCAAAACACTTTTCTTTCTTTTTCTTTAACCCCCATTACTCACAGCATACATGCCACTTTCACGACAGGGCCTTTTTGCAAGTCAAAGTGCATTCAGTTAAAGTCACCCATGTCATGGCCCTCTGCATGCCTGGTGCTATGCTTTGTGTTCCATTCTCATTATTTTTAACAAGAAGTCAAAACAGTATTTGTCCATGGGGCCATAAAAATGCCCCAGTACTTTAGGTACATCATATAGTTACTCTAGGCTTATCACACTTTCTAAAGTAGAAAGAAATTTTAGAGCATTTGTATTTCTAAGACTCACCTAAGAACCTCTAGTGAGCATGTGTTTTTGTCACTTGTTGGCAATCTTTCAAAGAATGTCAAATGAAAATACATTTTAACAAAGCTAAAATTATGCCAGTGGGTTTATTTGTTTTATTTGAATTTCTTCAGCAGCTTTCAAGACAAATCAGAAATTTCTTGTGAGTTCATTAAGCTGCCCTAAGGGAGACATGAAGAAACTATTCCTTGGATAAAGCATGGTGTTTTAAAGCAACACATTTGTCAGGAAGGTGGAGGGAAGAGGCCCTATTGCTAATACCTGATTTAAATTTGGTAAGGTCTTATTTTGATTTTACCTATTAATTTTTATTTTCCAAATAAACTCTTTTTCTATGTTTAGGCTTTGCTATCCAATATGGTAGCCACTGACCACATGTGGCTTTTAAATTTAAACTTAATTAATTAAAAATTCATTTCTTTAGTAGCAGTAGCCAAGTTTCATGTACTTAATAGTCACGTGTGGCTGTGGCTACTGTATTGATATGACAGATTATAGAACTTCTGTCTTTACAGAAAATGCTATTAGACAGTGTTACTTTAGAGAAAGTATCCATTCTTCCACACAATTTACTATTTAAGCCTCACATTTTTATAGAGTCAAATGTTTTAAAACATCTCCAAAAATCTTCTATGCAGGTATATCTTCTCTATGCTATACTTAGTGCTTATTCTTCCCAATTCTACCCCTGTGATATTTATATCAACATCCTCATATTATGATTTAAAAAATTAAAAGTCAGAAAGATTAAGCTGGAGGTAATATGTGTAGTAAGAGGTAAGCACAAAACTGTGATCCGTATCTTTCTGACTCCTGCCTATGTTTTCCATTTCCCCAGATAAGGAGATGTCATTGCAAATACCTCACCTCTAAATGCTCATTTATAAATAATCTAACTCTTCTCTTTTTGTCTTTACTTCATATACTCAAACATATCTGTATTTCACTTGAATTTACACAAGAGATCTATAGCCTTTGACTTTTGAATGAAATTATAAACAAATATGTCTTTACAATAGCTTGGCCACAATTGAGCGCTTTTCTCATATTATATGCTGTCCAGACCAAAATCTTCAGATGATATATATCAGAATACCTTATTTATGTGTTTTTTGTATACTATTTTTTTCCTTTTATTTCATCATATTATGGAGGTACAAATATTGTTAGGGTTACAAATATTGCCCCTGCCCCCCTCCTTCCCTCCCAATGTGTCCAATCCCCCGGTGGTGTGCACCACACACTATGAAAGCATACACCCCTTTCCTCCCCCCCCCCCCCCCCGCCCAACAACCCGATAAAAAGTTTTTTGGTTTTTTTTTCTGACATTTTGGTTACATTGTATATCTTTGGCTCTCCCTAAGAAGGGTTAGAGTTATGCTCTTCCCCTCCGAAGTGCTCTCCACATCCCTAAGATTGGGTCCCCCTCCCCGCAAATCCCTGGTGAGCATTGCCACCATTTGAAAACCATAGTTTTAATCAGTCAGTACCAATTTGATGGTGAGTAGATGTGGGGCCCATTTTCCATGTCTTGTGTCACCTCTGCAAATTAGTGCAACCTTTGTGGAAAAGAATTTGGAGATACCTCAAACAGCAAGAAATAGAAATACCATTCGACCCTGTAATAGCATTGTTGGGCATCTACCTGAAAGAGCATAAGACATTCTATTATAAAGATATCTGTTTTTTTGTATACTTTAAACATTAGTCATTATGTGAATTATAGTCTGACAGTAAATAATCAGAAAATATTTACAAAAGTTTGAAAATTCCCTGGCCATATCTATCTGTTATCTTCACATTTGTTCTTTTATATATTTTCCAAAATCACTCAAGTGCACTGTACTATTTCACATACCCAAATCTGAATATTCCATTACTCTATATACCATATAGATAATTTAAAGGAATCATTCATTCACTTGATAAAAGTGTTCCCTCTGCACATATTTCGAAGAATAGCAAATATTCCAACTATTCTTCCCTCTGGCTTCCCCATCTCAAGAGTCAAATCAAGCCAGAATAAATTTTCTTTAAATTAAATGATTCTTTATGGTTAAAAGGGTTACTTACCCTTTACAGCAAATGACTACTCTGTTTTCAAAGAATTGGTACAAAATGAAAATATTTAACATTAAGAGCACATTGACTAAAATTTAATCTCACTTTGATGATTCAGAATATGCATAAAGATCTTGCCTTTATGTCAAATCATCATGAAAAAAATATTTATCATTAATTTGGATATGTTCAAAAATGCTAGTCATAAATAGTTCTAGTCATCCCTCAAATAAATGTATTTGGCATCTTTTCAAGTAGCAAGGTAAAGCTTTCTACTTAAAATAATCACCAAAAAATTTGAGAGTCAGGTTCATAGATTCATTCTTAACATTTAGGTCAAGTCTGTGGCAGAGTCATAACTAGACAGATTAAAAGATATATTTGTCAAGCTACTGATGTTTAAGTAGCAAGGCTGAGTTCCTTGTTTGACCTCTATAATAGATTAAGGGAAATACAACTGTTTGAAAATAAATACACATTCAAGGAAGGTTCATAAACCCCATGTAATTACAAAAATTGTACTGATGAATTTACTCCACTATGCTTTGCTTAAACTTTGTAAAATTGGCCTAACGGTTTACTCAAAATTTGAAGTACACTAAGATTTTTTTTTCTCCTTAAAAATATGAGATAATGTCGTTCACAGTATCTTAAAAACGCACCTTAATTAGATGGTAGTTTTGAACTCCGTTTATTCCTATGTCAGGATCAATGGCCGCTGGGAGAGCATATCGAGAGTTTATAGCCGAGTTCTCTGGAATTGAAATGTTGATAACCGTTGTCGGGAATAATGGTGCATTATCATTTATGTCTTCTATCAGAAAACGTATCTTAATCAGTCTAAATATTTCATCTGGCAAAATGGCAACCTCCACTTCATAAAAGCATTGGCCATCCATCAAGATACCGGCACATAATTTCTCACGATCAATGCGAGCTCCAGTAGTGAAGATCTCACCAGTATCCTCTTCAATTCGAATCAGTGGTACTTCCCCAGTCTTGTACACTAGCTTAAACTTCATGGGCGATGTTAAGGACTTGTCTGGAACCAGCGACAAATTTAGGTCTTTCCATAAGTCGCCTATCAGGACGTTTTCTGGCATTTCTTCTCGGATGGTATAGTTCTTCTCCTGGGCGCCAGACTGAAACACGACGCATGCTAACAGGACCGCAAATATATACGTCCCGGACAACAAGTCCATAACAGTTACGATTATGGCGGTTCTCTGTTTCACCCCACAGAAAACTGTCAAAGAGAAAATAAGAAAAAAGAAAAGAAGAAAGAAGAGAGGAGAAGAGAAAGAAGAAATTATTAAGAAGCCAACCGTAAACATGCATGTTAACTAAATATTAAGTTTTAACTTAAAATCATTAAATGAACTATAGCATAATTGGCACTGTTAAATAAATTAATAAAAAATATGTTTTGAATCACATATTATGCATTTCTACATTAATATGAAAGAAAATAAGATACCAACAGTAATTAAAAGAGACAGTATTTATAAAAGTGTCCAGCATTGATAAAATATATGAAAGATAATATTTAATATATCAAGATAGTTAAAGGTAATACAAATAATTAAAACCATTTAATTCACAAAGGATCTGAGTAGACATTTCTCTAAAGAAGATATACAAATGGCCAATAAGCACATGAAAAGATGTTCAACATCATTAGTTATCATGGAAATGAAAATCAAAATAGCATGAGTATTATAATATTGCATGAGTTATAATATTGTTATATCCTGGACATTTGCTAAAAGAATAGATTTTAGGTATTCTTACCACACACACACACACACACACACACACACACACACACACACACACATAGACATATCCACACACATACATACACACACATAACTATGGCTAATTGAGAGAATGGATATGTTAATTTGCTTGTAGTAATCATTTCACTATGTATATCAAAATATCATGTTGTACACCTTAAATATAGGCATATATTATATAGGCATATATTATTAAATATAGGCATATATATTTCTTATAGATGGGTCTTAAAAAAGAAAGAAAAAATAATAAAAAATAAATAAAACTATTTAATTCAATAGTTAAGGAAAAGTAAAGGGATATTTGTTACCAACTGCAAATATAATCATATTCTTTGTTATAAATTTCAAATGTGATTATTCTATTGACAATGAATATTTTATACAATCTTCTATATCTTCAGTTCTGGGCATTAAAGTGTAAAAAACAATGTGGACAAAAGAGGAGACAAATAATCATGACAAATAAGGGACACAGAAAGTTTGATTTGAAGAAGAAAAGTCTTTTGGGAGAGGAAAGGGGTGGATGTGACAAATGCCTAAATGTGAGAAGAACTATCATGTGGAAAGGGGATTAGAGTTTTCTTTCTTTGGATGAGAAAAACAAGAATAGTTATAAATTATAGGGAGACAACTCTCAGATCAACATAAACAACTGCTTATTTAAGCATTCTGGAAAATAAAAACATTTTCAGGAGATAGTGAGTTCCATATATTTGGAGATATTGATATAGCAGCTGGACCACCAGTTGAGATTTACGTATTTGGTTTACATATAGTTTGGTAAATTATGTCCAAATATTCAATGGAAGAGTTGGACCAGAAGACATCCTAACCCTAAGAATTTGTTTAGAGATTGCAGAAGGTAGCCCATATGAAAATGGGTTTTCACATTTAAAAGCTGAGATAGGAATTACCTAACTCTAAAGAACAACTAAACTAGAGTTTAAAAATAAGAAAGGAATTTGAAACCACTTTACCATGTTAAAAAAATTAGTCAAAAAACAATCTCCATGGCTACTTTCCACGCCCTTTTGTATTATTTTTCACTCACTGAAATATTACAAAGTACTTCAGTTCTCTAGTTCTGATAAAATTTAATAAGAAATTGTGATTTCATTATATTCTGCAAAATTTTTTCTTCAGTTTCCTTTCTTAATTCTCAATTTAATTTGTTTGATATAGTCTCACTTTGCTACACTAAATATCTTTTAATCTCTAAATCAATCTAGTATCTAGTATCAAAACATTCTAATGTGCTTCTAGATATTATTTGTAGGTAATATGAAACACGAAATGAAATTTGTATCACACTGCACTAAATTCTATTAGGTGTTATATATTTTATAATTAAATAAAGGTTAATGTAGCTATCAAGGCATTTGGCAGTTTTAAAAGATCGGAGGGCAGATGGTTATTTAAAATTCCATTACAGAAAAGTATTAATGCATGTAGATATCTAATTAAGGAAATTCTCTATATTTATTGGTAATCAATAACATTAACAAAGTTTTAGTAATGGTTCTAAAAACAAAAGGGCTTAGGATATATAAATAACTTGCTGGATATTGTGCTCTGATTATTCCAGACAATGTATTATATGAAATAATTGTCCCACTGCATAGCTGCATGTCTGAATTTTTTTAAATATGCATATGCAAATATTAGAAGATGCAAAATGGGGAAAATGATATCTTCAAATTTGCAATCAGTAATAAAACAAATGCACTTATTACAACAATTGAGATGATTTAGGTTATGAATACAACCAATAGGTGAATTGGATAAACTAAACATCTCATTTTATAAGTTCCGATCACAAAATAAAAATATATATTATGGGTCCAACCACCTTCCTGTGTTGAGTAGTTGCAGCAATTTGTAAAATATATTAAGTATAACAATAAGTAATTCTGAAGACATAATATAGAAAAATTACTATATTATTTTAGTAAAGAATATAAAAAGATTATTGTATGTGGTATTATATTTTTAACATCATTTGCTCAATGATAAGCATGAAGATTACATAATATGGAAACCTGCTCAAGATTCAAGATTAGGTCTCATGAATTATTGGCCTTATGCTCTGTTTTGAATGTGAGATTAAAAATATCCCATTCACACTATGGGCTAATATGCACATATATATGCGTGTCCAATACATTGTAATCTAGGACATCTAAGAAAATTTGAGTGTCTGCCTGTGTGATTTTTTTAAATACCATGCAAACATAAGCAAAAATAAAAATGGGGCAGTGACAATTGGAATTAAAACTGCTATTCTATTCTTATCTTACCCTTAGGTATTACACATTATTACAACTGGCAGAATACTATAGACCGTTTTTAAAAATATTGCATACACGTTGCAATATCTCTACAACAGAGAAAGAATTAAGAAAGTGACCTGATTCTGAGAAGTCCCCCTCTCCCAATCCATTCTGAATCTGTTCTACTCTACCTTTAATACTATCGTCATATAAAACATTTCAAAATGTTTCATGACTTGAAATACTTTCAGAGGTTTTAAAAGCCAGGGAAAACCACTGGGGAAAAAGGCAATATCATTTCTAAAGCATAACTGAATATACATATTGCCAACCTAGAAGGGATATTTACCCTCTAGTTAGTTGTTAGTTTCAACATCTATTCAATATATATTCATTCAACAAATATCTATTAAACCATTTTTATATGCCAAGCACTGTTCTAGGCACTGAGAGTACTTCAGTGAACAAAACGGACAAAAATCCCTTCCCTCATAGAGTTTATATTTGATAATATTAATATTCCAGCATGTCTTAAATTCAGTGTTCAACAACTGTATATTGAACTCAACCCTAACTCTACCAGGATATGAATATGCATGTTTAAGTAATCTCAATCACCAGATTTTGATTTCAATCCTTACATTTGAAAATTTATTATCTTTAAACGTAAAAGGTTTTCCTTGAAAATGCTTAGTTTAATTCCTTGAGACCAGTACAGAAATTTAGCTATTAATACTAAATATGGACAGAAATAGTCGCTGCTAGTTTTATGGAAGTATGGTAAATTTAACCCAGATATTCAAGAAAAATATGCTTACATGCTTATCTTTATTTTGCTCTAATTTTTCTGTTTCTAATGAAATAATGATAAGATAACCTTAAAGTTATTTACCCTTCCCCCACAACCCACTCCTACTGTAGACCAGGATTAGTTTGGAAATTGATAGGGGAAGCACAACAAAAGCAGATATAAAGAATAAAACTTTTCTACATGTTCCAGTAGTCCCCAAACTATTTAAGTGATGCCCTTTATTGGCAATACATAGTGGTTGGGTAGGCAACAGTTGTATTTAGGGAGACAGAATCATGACAATCAGAGAAAGCAAATGTAGAAACAAAATAAGCACCTTTGAAAATCTAAATATTTGAAAAGCCAGAAAGCAAATTCATTTTATAAAGACTTATTTTATAGCCTCTGAGCAATTTAGTTCTAAAAAGGTAAGTATGTAAGGGAACTGGGCCTCTAATATATGCGATTCTAGAAATTTCTAACCACAAAAGTGATGTTCAAAGGTTTGTCAGAAGAATTCCAAGGCATAATTTCCTTTATATTCTTGTTACATCTTCCTTCATTATAGTGCTCGTTTCATTTGTGACATATTTAAATTAATTCTAGGTGAATGACTGGTTTACATGCTACAGTAAATTGCTAAAATTGTACAAATTTATGTAATACATAAAAATAAGAAATATCTACATGCTGCCATTATCCTAACATCACTTGGCTCTCATTCTAATTATTTTAATGTCTCATGAAGTCAAAAATACGCCATTCAACAACCATGATGTATTGTGTAGTCACTTCTATGTTCTTGTTCACAAGCACAAGCAAAGTTGTTTTTTTTTTCACAGCCTGAGTAAAAACAAGAAAGTTCTTGAGGTCGACAAGAACCTGGGATACTGTGAGAAAAGTAGCCACATTGGAAGAAAGATAAACTAGAGCAAGTGATGGACCTGTTACTTTCAAAGGGATTGACTAGAGCTGGTGTTCTCAAACTACGGCCAGCAGGCCACATATGGGCCACCTAGCACATTTATCCAGCCTTCTGGGTGGTTTTGCCACCACTGCCTGCCCTGCTTAGCAGCCACTTGTCCCAGGCCCACAGTGCACACTCACCAACTGTCTGAGGGACAGTGAACTGGCCCCTGTTTATAAGTTTGAGGACCCCTGGACTAGAGCAAGCAGAGGGAGCAGGTGGACTGGCTGCTCTATTTGACATAACTATTTCCTGTGTATTCTGAAACTTGAGATGTAAAAATAAAAGATTTAATAAAGTACTTTCATTATATAAAACTGGAATTTGCATTAAGTTTTATTCCACAAAGGGCTCATTTAGTGTACTCCTTTTTGTACATGTTTAATTTTCACATTTAGGTCTAAACTTCTCTGAGAA